TATTTTTGGAATGGAACGATTTGAGGACTGCAAGAGGGGAGAAATGAGAATATACGGGGTTTTGGGTTTGTTTTAGCCTCTGGTTGCACTGTTTTGAAAAGGTGTTTCCTTGGGGTTTTTTACCAAGTTGACACTTTTTAAAGAAACTGAACTCAACACCCAAAACATAAGACAGGCGAAGGGAAAACGTCATCAAAAATGCAAAGGGAGTCAGACCGTCCAAAAGTCAATTAATAACCTATTTCCATAGCCATTGTTAGGCTTTTCCCGCCATTAAATTCATTGATACAAATGTGATGGATTACTGACTAGTGACAGAAGGTCCCATCAGATACTTTTTCATTTTCCCACACCACACTACCCCTATTAAATGACGGATTCTTATCCAACTAGTTGCCTTAATGCAATATAAAGAAAATAATATTTAAAGCAGTGTCCCCTCAATTGTAAGATTATTATTGGTAGTGAAATAGTATATCGCTTATCGGAGTAAAATGTGTCACAATTCTGACGGTACAGGTGTCCAGATCGTGACCAACCCACCCACACACAGAAAAGAAGGATATAATTCGATTTGGGCAGAGATGAGAGAGAGCTGAGTGAGAAGTTTAGGGTTATGACTTATGAGTGAAGGGGTATAACTGAGAAGGTATGAGTCCGAAGAGGTTTTAGTGAGAAGATCTGAGTGAGAAGAGGTACAAGTGATAAGATTCAACATGTCTTCGTCTTCATCTCCCGCTCAAACAAAGAGGTGTCAGTATTGTGGAGCTGCAATGGTGCTTCGGGTTTCAAAATCAGATAAAAATCGAGGGAAGCCATTTTGGAAGTGTCTAACCTCCTATGTAAGTTCTCATTTCCAGAATATGTATGTGGGTGAAAAAAAATCCTAGGTCTAACTCTGACAGAATTATTTTGCATATATGATGCCTGCAATTAGGGAGCCACCAGTTGCAATGGATTCGAATGGGTTGATGTAACCTCGCTGAAGCAGATCAGCAAGCTGACACGTATGATGCTACAGTGCTTATATGCTGAAGTCCATTAAGGACTTGGTATTAGTTTTATTAGTTGTATCAATTGTCATATTATTTGTTCTTTTAATGACCAATTAAGTGCACGGTTTCAAGGATTGTAAAAGTTCTCCCCAAAAACACATGTTGCACGCACCACCAATGACTTTTCAAACCCAATTTGTAATTTTTGTTATTCAAATAGGTGGATTAGCATTGAGTTTTAAATTATTGTTTGAAACAAAAGCATTATTTGTCAGAAACCCAGTAAAAACTTTCCTAGACTTACTTTACAAAAATAAAGTCATACGAAGACGATAAAATGACAATACAGGGCCAATACGATGCAATAATAAGACAATACCTTTTTTTGAAGATTGCATAATTATTCAGTGTATATAGATTGTTTATTGATTGTTTACTGCATGTAAATCGCATGATATTGACTGTTTATTGAAGGTTTATTAACTGCATGTATTTCGCATGTTATTACTCCGATATTGAGTGTTTATTGAAGGTTTATTGATTGTTTACATGTTTCGTGAAGGTTTCATGATTGTTAACTGCATGTATTTCGCATGTTATTGAACCGATATTGAAGGTTTATTGAAAGTTGATTGAGTGTTTACTGCATGTATATCGCATGTTATTGCTCCAATATTGCATGTTTATTGGGGGCAAAAGTAGGACTCCAGTTAGATTTAAGGGGGGAAACGGTCCTTATTCTTTGTTTTAGTAGGAAGAACAACTTAAGTAGAATTTCCTATTCAATACGACTTCCTTATGGTTGATGTAATTGGGGACTGATGTATATTGCATGTCTATTGCGTGTATATTTCATATCTATTGCGTGTATATTGCTTGTCTGTTGCCTGTGTATTGTTATTTATTTCCGTCGTAAGCAATACAAATCAATACAGACGCAATAAATGTAAGATATGCACGCAATAGACAAGCAATATAGACCCAACAGACATGCAATATAGACGCACCAATATACATTACTGTTATGTTACTCAGCTGCCCAAAACCAATAAAATAAAGAAAATCAACCAATTTATTAACCGATTATAAAGGAGAGAGGGATTCAAACCCGAGGGGCAGTGCGGAACCAATAGGGAGTTTTTAGAGCATTGCACCTGGGGACATTTTTCATGTGTTTCTATAAGGAGGGCATGGTTGAATAAAATATTGGAGGCGAGGCCATAGCAGCCTATTCCCCTTACAGAATTACCTTAAGATGCAACCCATTGCGATTAAGTCAAGGCATGTTGAACGGCTTAAAGATTGGGATCGGATATTTGGAATGGTGGCTTGGATAAATGATGACATATCACTTTGCAATGATGTAATACACTTAAAAAGCCATCAGTCCGTATGTGAATATGCATTCTTCAAATCCAAATTCACATATGCAGTCTTCAAATCCCAATTCAATGCAGTTTGGTTGAGGTTAGGTAAATGTCGTGAAGGAGTTAGGCCAATATTACACCGATGTTTGTTTCATTACATCAAAAAAAAACTTTACACTCCATATGCACATTCTATGTATGGGAATGGCATGTGTCTAACTTCAAAAACGCATCTGCCTATCCATTTAGATTGCCCACGTGCAATAGATTTACAGATCCAGTTACTTTTCTCCTCTCCAACCCTCAGCATCTCCATTTCAGAGTCTTCATTTTTCTATGCTCTGCAACCAGCTCCATATACATTTTGCACAATATGAGAATACACATAGCGTAATATCACACTAATCAAAATGAAAGCATGCATCCGCTATAATATTTGCCACTATTTTGGTTCTAATTGTTATTGTCCAGTAACTTAAATCTAAATTTCTGTACACAAATACACTAAGATTGAGAAAGACGAAGAAGAATTCAGGAGCAGAGGTGGAATTCGAAAAGGACCCATGGGTCTCTATTGTGTATTTACATGACTTTGAAATTTGACATTCCCAAAACCTATTTCATCATCATGTGCCTAAACCAAGTTCAACCGATATCATGGCATGTAAGCATCTCCCCGTGCAATTTCTGCAGCCAACTTCAACCGAAAAAATGGCATGTTCTGCGAGGTGCAAGTAGCTAAGGAAATCTCAGCACTCAACAGCTCAATGTACTTCAACACGAACATACCACAATCGCCTCTGAAGCAAAACAAGAACTCGATCAATTCAACTAATGACATTCTAACATAATTGACAAATTAAAGTAATAAAATTAAATAAAAAGTTGTGCTCACTGATTAGCCTGTTGTGGAACATCCACACGATGTATTGGCCATGGACACCACCAATCTCGGGTGCACTCGTTCGCGTAAACACCTTCTTCATAAAAGTCGAGGGTGTGCAGAAGATTTGGAATCGTAATTGACAGGGGGCCGAGTTCTTCCTTTAAGCTCTGATCTGGAATGAGTGAAACCATTGAATCGTAGACTTTGATTTCACACTGAATCAGATCAATCTCTAGAGCCACCCAATGCTTATATTTTTGCAACATACAAGGTACATACACCTTATACGTGTTCTGCCAATCCAATCCACAAGCCGGAACCTTGCCATTTACAACGTTCACTAAACTGGTTCTAATTTTCCACCCAACTTGCTCTTTTTTCCTTTTATTATCCGCAAAGCAAGTATGGATGTGATTCTGTGAAATAGAAAACAATCAATGGTTAAACAACTCCACAAAGCAAGTATGGATAATTTGTAATTATTAACTGCACTTGGTCAAGGCCTATGCCCATACTGATGTAGCACAGCCCTGGGTGTGTTAGTTTAAACACTTAGAGCAATAAGACATAACAGATAAGAAAAGCTGAAGGGAAGAAAAGGTAGAAGGCAGGCAGAAATCAGAGAGTTTAAAGGAATGTTTAATCAATATTCAAATCTGAATTGTAAAGAACTACACAGGGGTATTTATAGCAAACTAAAACCTAGAGAGAATAGAATTAAAATCCCCAGGTAAAACAGAAATCCTATTCCTAATAAAATAGGAAACTTAGAAATCCTAATAGGATTTGGAAAACTAACTTAGAAATCCTACTAGGATTTGGAAAACTAAAGAATATAGGAAAACTAACCAATAAATTAGGAAACTAAACAATTTAGGTCCTATGCATCCTGCATCACATACCATAAAAATACATCGGTCGTTGTCCAATCCGATATTTCTACTTCCTCCAACTGTTGTTGTCGCTTCCGGATGAGATACAAGCCCAAATCAATGTGCTGCACATGTTTTCCTTGTCAATCTCATTATCTATGCACATTCAAACAAATGCATAATCAATTAAACTTACATCTCCTTTCAGCCAGCCGTCAGCTTTGACGAGGGAAGCGAAGAATTCAATCTCAGCTTCCACGTTGCCAAATTGCATCACCAAACTATGAATATAAAAAGTTTTAGAACACAACAATTACAAAATATATACACTCATGCCTTCTATCTCAAAAAACAAAGGACTTACTTTGGGTTATGGCGCCATTCCGAACAAAGTTTCAGCAATTTCACCATATCATCATGCGGAATCGCCTTCATTGGTCTAAACGTCCGAAGCCGTGGTCTTTGGCAAATGGTTGGGAACCGACGCACGACGGCAAACTAGCGGCCACAAGGAATATCCTCTTCCGCTTCGGGAGAGTGTGACCCATCTTCACACCTTGACCGTCAGCGGCAACCACCGTGCACTTGAGAGACACACCAGCGCTAGGTTTCCAAAAGCAAGGCCCCGACAGACCCTCAACCTGTTGCCCCCGCCGGGCGCTCCTCGCCAAGGGCAGCGAGGGCCACCCCACAGAACTGCTCACCGCGTCCTCACATGGGGTTGCTTGTGGCACTGCCGGGCCTCACGGCGCTCGCGGGCACGGCCTGGCCCGGCCTGTGGGGGGGGGGGCGGATCCTCGCCGCACGGCGGGGGCGGGGCAGGTGCGGCCTCGGCCGCAGGCTCGGGCGGGGCGCGTGCCGCGCCTGGCGGCGGGTATGGTCACGCCGCCCTCACGGCGGGGCCGGGGGGGGGGGCTGCCTCGACCTCCCGGGTGGCTGGCACGTGGCCCCGGCCAGCCCCTGCGCGCCGTGCCGCGCCCAGGGCCGGCGGCACGTGCCCCCACACCCCTGCAAGCCCGCCGCGGCCGGGGCCGCGCCCGCAGGGGGCGGCTGGCCCGGCCCCGGGCAAGCCCCGCCGCGGGCCGGCCGCGCCCGCAGTCTGTGTAGGGGGCCCTGCCCCCCCAGTCAAGGCGGCCCGGCAGGGGGCCGCGCGCAGGGCGCGGACTGGCCCGGCGCCCGTGCCGGCCAGCCCGGCCGCAGAGCCTGAAATAGATGGGACACACAAGACGAGTCGGCCGCGCGTGCAGAAAGCGGGTCCCGGCTCACTGCCGGCCAAAAGGGAGACCGAAACGGGGCCCAAAGGGGGGCCAGCCGAGGACCGGGAACTCAAGGACGTCCTTTCCCCCCGCTTTACCGGAAACAACTCGGACCTCAACAAGCTTACCGCCTTGTTCAACTCATCAAGGTCAGCACATGAAGAAGGAATTGACTCTGCCGAGACAACAGCAGGGCGACCCTGTGGCCAACTCCAATATGGTTGTCTCATTTCCTCTTCACTTGGACATAGCGCCCGCAACTGAACTGACTGTTTCAGAAAACAGACAAGAGTCATATGCAATCATTCTACTTCATAATTTCATTGAATCTTATAAATAGTTCCAAGGGCTGCAAACCAAACCTCTTTGCTTTGGAAAAAATAATTGTTCAACTTTCTCATCTCGGGAACAGACGTAGTAGTTCTCCATCGCAAAATACGCGGGAGAGCTGTCGGATCAACAACCTTGCAGTAATTCAGGTCCACCATTCTAGGAATTAATTCATATACCCAAATCTACACAATTCACAGGACACAAGTTATTATTTAAGTTTTAAAGTCAACAAAACATAACGACATGAACATTATTACCATGTACCTGGAAAGCATACGTGAAACCTTTAAAACTCCAGCCACCCCTTTGCACTTCACCATGGTTATCCTTCTTGCCCTTCTCATTTCTCCGGCTTGTTCCGGTTACCTTACATTTCCCCTTCCCTCTTCCCTCTTCATTTTCAAAGCTTTTCACATACTTTGTTGGTGCAGAAAACAGACTGTCTTGGGTTTTGTCAAACGACACCGAACCCCATGGAAACCTGTTGAACGCATCCAAGTCCTCTACAAGGGTCAGGTAATTTAGATTGATGTTCAAATGTTTGTCCCTTCCCAAAACCACTAACTCAGCAAAGTAAACAAGAGCTAGCTTGTAGACGTCATCTTCCTCTGTGCACCTCACAAATGCTTCTTCTAAAGCATTACATGTAATTCCTTCGTCTATAAAATATCTTTTCTGAAGTCTAATTTCATCACTTTCTCCACTGGAAACTTCAGGCACTTCCCCAAAACGAAGCCCTGAGATCAAACAGAAATCCTGACGAGTGAACTGAGCAACGTCGCACCCTATTAAGAAACTCAGTCCATCCAAGTCTTTCACACCCTGCCCCGCTACTCTACGCAACACAACCCCATGCACAATCTGCCCGCTAAACTGAATCTTATCTATATTCAGAAGATGGCCAAAGCATGATGTCTTGAATTGTTCTAATTGTTCGGCACTCAACTTCGCTCGAATTACAGCTAGGGATGAATTTGCATGTGAGCAGTTGTTCACCCGTGAGGAATATGCCTCTGACTCTGGCCATACCAGCTCAACGTTGGATCCCATTTCCTGAAATACAAGATGAAATAACGTGAACACATATACTACCACGTATTTGCACAATCACATTGGTATTTACACAACTAGTCAACCAGCACATTACAAATTTTACAAAGTACATGCGCATAGGGATTACTGATCACAGGCTTTAACATCATCAAAGCAATATGACATATTTTGTGCAAATACCTGTTAATGCAATGATTCTGTGAATTACAAGCACTAGCATGTGTTTTATTTATGGATCCAAACTCCAATCAATGGTTGATGCATGAGTGAGTGTGAGTGCAATCTAGGCAAGTTCTGCACTTCACACACATGACAATTATTGTCATTTCATACACAACACAAAATAAATAAATAAATAAATGAGAAAGATGGTGGAAGGAAGCAAAGCAAAGCATCTGCTCTGCTATCTGCTCGCTAAGCCATTGCCACATCCTTCTTTCTTTCTAGCTTTTTCTTCAGTCAGCCATAATCGTCATAGATCAACCTTTTTTCAAATGCTTTGCACTTTTATTCATGAGTTTATTATTATCTGTTCTCATTTTTAACAGGCAAATTTAGTAACAACGGAAATAATATTTATTTCAAAAATTATATATATTCTAGCTCCAGAGAGATAATTTGCACTCTGCACTGCTTCAAATGTGGAAGGTTTTGAGGGCCTCCTCCAATTCAACACCATTACCTTATTCATATCATTATTGACATGTTATTGACATGTTATTGACTTTATATTCATTCGTTTTTTAACATATACCCAAGCAAAAATTAACATGCAAGTGAAGCACAAAGAAGAGATGCCAAATCTAACAACATTCATGCTACAAATTGGGGAAAACGGTTACTCTAACCCTAAACTCAAATTCCATAAATTACTCACCAAATGCTGGTTATTGAACAATCGCAAGGTGTCTGTGTTGGGTCTTTGTGCGGCTTTGCTCCACAAATGGAACCTATCACTTCCAACGAATACGGCTTCTCTCCTTCCCCTTCCACTGCTTCGTCTTCACTGTTTCAGAATCCACGCCTTTGCTCCTTCCACTCAAAATAAATACTTTTTCACGGTTTAGATAGTGGAGTTGCGTTCAACCGTCGTTAACCTTTGCCTTCAACCGTCGTTGCCCGTTGCCTTCAACCGTCGTTGCCCGTTGCCTTCAACCGTTTCTCAGAGCTTAGCGGTTTCTCTCAGCTATGAGTTTGAGATCAATGGGTTTTTCTGTTCAAACTTCGAACTTGTCTCTTTTTTTTTTTTTTTTTTTTTTTGTTGGGACTTCATTGCTGGATTATTAATATTCGGGTTTGGGGTTCCTCACCTACCCGATTGCACAACTTTATCCCAATTCTCCCCAGCCCTTCGATTGATCCAATGACTATAAAGTGAACCCCTTATAACTTACCCCTTATAACTTACCCCTCATTATAGTCTGGCCGAGTTATTTGACCCTAAGTCTCTCGGGCTCTTATGGGCAGGCCTAATTGATATTTGGTATCAGTAGGGGGGGAGCTTCTACAATGAGGAGTTAAAGTGAGGAGGTTATTTGAGGAGACCAATCCGACCGTCAAAACATTTAAAATATTTAAGTCCCATGATTTCTTTACATTTGTTGATGGTGAGATTTGACCTCCTCAAATAACCTCCTCACTTTAAGCCCTCATTATAGCCTTTCCGCAGCAGGGGCGGTGATGAGGAGTGGAGACGGAGATGGTATTGTCATACCTGGCCTCAAACCGGCCCGTTTCCATTCTTAGTACCAAGTTTAGGATGGACTTTTGTGATTCCAATATGAAAAATTACTCTAGGAGTGATTGAATACAAAAAAGATATTATAATAATCACACGCGTAACGAAACAACAACCATCAGATAAGTGAGGAATGTTGAGGTGAACCAAAAAGATTTACCTAATTTTTTAAAATAATAGTTATACCTTTGAAAAATTGGCCACACATATACCTTTCAAATGACCAATTTTAACATAAATTGCTACATTGTTGATGCCAAGAATTATTGCTGTCTAAAATTTTAATTCAAGGACTAGAGTATAACTCGAATATAAGTTCATGAGCTATTACTATAATTTTTATGGGAGTTTCACTAAAACACCCAAAATGGGGGCTGAAATTATAAAAAAACTCAAACACTATTTAAACATAGAAACACACCCAAAACCCATCATTACACACACTCAAACCCATTTATAAACACACCCAAAAAGTTGACTTTGGGGTTGATTTTGGGTGTGTTTCTATGTTTAAATAGTGTTTGGGTTTTTTTATAAATATATGCCTAAGATTGGGTTTTTTTATTTATAAATTTGTATAATTTTTATTTCAAAAGTAAAAAATAAGAATCTTTTTCTCAACAAGGTCAGGGAGATTCCAAATTGTTATATCTTTCAAATTAAGAAAAGAAATGTTAATAAGATTGATAAATAAATAAATAAAACCTGACTAAAGTAATTTAATACGTAGAAGTCCCTTGCCACTTTGTTTCTAGGTTAATTCGTTTGTTGCGATACATGGAACTTGGCTTTTGGACGAGAAGATTGAGCTAGGCCCTCAAGAGGTTTGGGTAGAGCAGGCGGTTTTGAATTGACACACTCCTAATTTGGTGGTTCTAAGAATTTAATGGTTATTCCATTAAGTTAATTTCTTATAAATCAAGACCAGACATAAGCAAGAAAAAAATAAGACATTTAGGTAAATCAAGACCACATAAGCTAAAAATAAGAATTTAGGGCTTAATTTGGCATTGATATGTTGTGAAAATAATCGTTTTTAAATTTGTTATAAAAGAAATCAATTGTGAAGGAAGGTAGTTTGATGATTGGCAAACTAAATACTAAATAGGCGTGTGGAAGAGAACTTTCAAAATAAGTGATTTTTGCTGCTAATTTGCAATGTCAAATGGGCACTTAATGGTTGCTTTGTATGAGTAAAATGGGCATGCAATAAGAAATGTTCAATCATCGAGCCTAAAACTAGGGGTGGAGCAAGCATGGGACTAGTGTAGTCCTAGGCCTCCACTCCATTATTACCTCATCTATTTGTATGTAATATATGATATATAATATTATAATTTATTAATTAGTTTTAGGATATTTACCTTAAATAAAATAATATATTAGGTTCTTTTGGTCTACAAATTAACCATAAAATATCTCTCTTCTACTCATCTCCGTTAAATCTTCTAGGTTAGTTTAAGACATTTGCACTAAAAACTCCTTTAAAGTTTTAATATTTCTTTCTCTTCCTCTTTTGTTTAAAGCTTTGTGAATTTTTTTTATTTTTTCCTCATATTTTTTATTACATTGGAGGGGAGAAACCTCACTGAGGTTCAATCTTGGGTGCCATGGGGGAATGGGGAATCCACCATCACTGTGGTGGGAACCCATTGGCTTCCTAATTTTTCTTTATGTATGAGGTGGGTACCTTAATATTGCGTTTTATGAACTCTTTATTTTTCTATTTCTTTTCCCTGTTGGAATATGAATTATTAATTTTTAAGTCTTTAATAGTGTAGATGATGAAATTAATATTTAACAAATTTAAAATATGAAATTCATGATTATGAAGAGAATACAAGTTTTATGAAGATCCCCTTCTAATGTGAAATCATGGCTCCGCCACTACCTAAAACCTAGGTTGACTCATCACCAAAATAAGGAAAAAGTTTTATGAGGTGTAAAGATAGCCAATGGGCTTAAGTTGATAAGAAGAAAAAAACACCCGGGTAACGAATGCTTCAATTTTGAGTTTATGTCTAATACAATACATAAGTAAGTAGTCTCACTGCTAACTGCGAGATATTTTGTGATATAACTTCGTACCTGCTCAGTTGTGGGATGGTTAGTTGTAAACAAATATTGGTATTGGACTAATCATTATTGGGATGTTGGTCAGTCACCGAAATGCCCCATTAATTTAGAGGGAGCGCAACTGGCAATACAAGGTGCCTGATTTAATTTACACAACAACAAGCCGACTAAAATATTTGGGAGACCGACGACGGAGTTATATAATATGAATGTGTTATAGGAACAGCTGAACAATATTTTAAGGAATGCTTTGATTTGATTATAAAAATAACTCAATTATAGTTGCAAGCCAGTTCAATATCAAACACATTGCAGGCTTGCAGTCAACAAAACAATTCTCTGATCACTATTTGGTGCTTATATCATATATTGACCTTTCCATCACATTGATCTTGACCGATGGTAAGCGAAATTTTTGGACCACTTGAGTTCAATTGAACCTCACTTGTATTAAAATTTGTATTCGAGTTTCACTTGTATCTCTAAATTTATTTATCGAACTTTAACTAGTTTCATTTTTCGTGTTAGCTGGCGTATTATGTCTCATCTTTTTTTTTAAAAAAAAAGAAAAAAAAAGAGAAAAGATTAAGGCAATAGTCTATGAAATTGTACTTGAGTTTTCACTTTCGTTCCTTAACTTAATTATTGAGGTGTTAGTGTGGATCTTGGCGTGGCTAGGGGAGGAGATATGTAGGGTAGTAGGAGGATGATGTAGGGCTGTGGATCTTCGTGTTTTATGCTTCTATTTCAACTTTTCGAGAACTAATTATTTTTCTGTTTTATACAAGCGATATTGAGAGAGAGAGATTTGAACACAAAACCTCGAATGTAGGAGTAACCGTTGTAAGTCTATAAGCTGTTTGCACAACTAACCATTTCTTAGACACAAAAATCTTTCTTCTACCAGTTCTTACTATTGAAAATATTCTTTTGACTAAAATAAAACATTGAAGCTTATTGATCTCAATTGGTTAATTTTTTTCTTTGAGAACATTATCATTAGGTTTATCTAATTTAATTATCTCCAAAAGCCATGTGTGATGCAATCATATCCCTAAAGTATAATGAAGAGAAGGGTTGGAAATGATCTTTTATATATAAACTCCAATATCTTCTAGGCTTTTATAACCCCCGGGAGCCTCTGCAAAACTAGACTTGGTCAGCACTTTTGCAGCACCTAAATTCAATGGCAAGTTGACTTGAAGTTATTAGTTGTTTTAAATGAAAATATCTGTAATTGAATATCTGTAATTGACAGGAACCGTTTTTCTTTTGTTTCGAATTGACAACAATGGTTCTTAATTGCAAGGATGATTATTTGGTTGCATTTTACACTTTTTTATTCATCAGATCGTGAGTTCTGGACTTTATAGTTTATAGTCATCTGGAGTGTGAAAACACTAGGCCACGTATATGTTCCCTATACTATATACAAGTATATGCAATGCCATTGTTGCCGGCCGCATCTTTCTTGTGATGGTATTGCTCAACAACTTGATCATGGCAGTCCATAAATACCTAGCTCTCTAACTTTCATTTCCATAGATGTTTATTTAGATAAGAGTGCACAGGAAAAACAAAATCTCAGAACAGTATGGGGATATCCCATTGCTTATTTAACGTGTCGATTCGCATGCTCTCCAAACTACTAGTTCTGCTGCTGTTTCATCTTTTGGCTGCTAACTTTGTATACTCCTTGCAGCAGCCCTCTTGCCATTATGAGGAGCGCTCTGCCTTGCTGCAGTTCAAGGAGAGCTTTATTATTGACAAATCTGCTTCACGTTATGACGGTGCTTATCCAAAGGTTTCATCATGGAAACCAGCTGGAGGAGGAAATAGCAGTTGCTGCTCGTGGGATGGGGTGGAGTGTGACGAGAAGACGGGTCATGTTATTGGCCTTAATCTTAGCAGCAGTTATCTCTACGGTTCTTTCGACTCCAATAGTAGCCTGTTCAACCTGGTGCATCTTCAAAGGTTAAGCCTCTCTGACAATAACTTCAATTACTCTCAAATTCCATCTAGCATAAGAAATTTTCCAAGCCTAACTCATCTTGACCTCTCTGCCTCTGTCTTTTCTGGTCAAGTCCCATCTGAAGTCTCACACTTGTCCAAGTTGACATACCTTGATCTGTGTTGCAATATTATTGAAATTGAAACATCTCCTGATGATCCTCAGCGATTGTTGAAACTTCAACCATCCGATATGAGAAGTCTAGTTCAAAATTTAACTAGTCTTGAAACTCTTTCTCTTAGTTTCATTAACATATCTTCGATCATACCCGTTTCCTTGACAAATTTATCATTTTTGACATCCCTTACCCTCAAGAAATGTGATCTGTTTGGTGAATTCCCAGTGAGAATTTTCAATCTACAGAACTTAAAAGTTCTTAGTGTGAGATACAACCAAGATCTCACTGGATATTTTCCTGAATTTAATCGAAGTAGTCCTCTAATCTTACTGAAAGTTGCTTATACTAGGTTTTTCGGACAAATACCTTCCTCGTTTGAAAAGCTTATTTCATTGCAAGAGTTGGATGTAGCTCAATGCAATTTTTCAGAAGGGTTGGTTCCATCTGCACTTGGTAATCTTAGACAGCTCACTTATCTAGACATTTCAGCAAACAAATTTGGAGGTCCAATTCCTGATTCCTTGGCCAACCTTACCCAATTGACTGTGTTTAGGATCAGTACAAGTTCTTTAACTGGTCCAATTCCATCTTGGCTGGGTAATTTTAGCAAACTAGTTTACCTAGATTTTGCTTTTAATAGGTTGATTGGTTCAATTCCTGCCTCATTTTCCAATCTCAAGAACCTCGAGATCCTTTATCTACATTCAAATAACCTGAGTGGTGTAGTGGAGTTTCAAATGTTTCAGAAGCTACAAAATCTATACCAACTCCAATTGAATCGGAACAATTTGGAATTTGTTACCGAATCCAATATTATTATGAATGCAACTCTTCCACAGTTTAGTATTCTGGGTTTGAATGAATGCAACTTAAGAGAGTTCCCATCTTTCTTAAGATATCAGACAAATTTGGAGCGGTTGGATCTGTCGAGAAACAAAATCCATGGCCAAGTACCGAACTGGATGTGGAACATAAGCAAGGAAACTCTCATATTCTTGGACATATCTGAAAATTTCCTTTCAGATGAACTTCCAGTTTTCATACCCTGGGTTAACCTACTATGCTTGAGGCTTTCGCTCAACAATTTTTATGGACGATTACCGATCCCTCCACCATCCCTGCTAGAATATGGAGCTACCAACAACAATTTTACTGGAGAAATTTCACCATTGCTTTGCAATATGAGTTCTCTTCGGTACCTTGACTTGTCAAAAAATAAGTTGAGTGGCATGCTTCCTCAGTGTCTCGGAAACTTTAGTGATGGTCTAATCCTTTTACTTCTTGGAAGCAACTCCTTTCATGGTATGATGCCTCAATCATACAACAACAGAAGTAGTTTGAGGATGATTGATGTTAGTCATAACCAATTGCAGGGGCAATTACCAAAGTCGTGGGCGAATTGTGTGATGCTTGAGTATCTGGTTCTGTCAAACAATCAATTCAGTGATGTTTTTCCCATTTGGTTGGGGACTCTTCCAGAGTTAAAACTTTTGGCAATGCGCCATAATCGCTTCAATGGTGTAATAGGGCAGTCTAGAACAAATGTTGACTTCCCCAAGTTACGCATTCTTGATTTGTCTTTCAACAATTTCACAGGTGAGATTCCACCTTTGTTTCCAGATATTACTGTAAACAAGTCAACATATATGTCCATAGACGTAGTCTATCAAGTCAATGGTTTTTATATTGTTCAGAGTGTTGCTTACTCAATCACAATAGCAATTAAGGGTTTGGATTTGTACTATTCAAAGATTCAAGAAGGCTTTGCAGCCATTGATATCTCAAGCAACAAATTTGAAGGGAAGATTCCAGAGTTCATTGGGAACCTTACTGAGATTCGCTCGCTCAATATTTCCAACAACATTCTCACTGGTTCCATCCCATCATCCCTTGGCAAGTTAACGAATCTTGAATCTCTGGACCTTTCACAAAACAAGCTCTCAGGACAGATCCCCCAACAACTGACGCAGCTTACATTCCTTGGGAACTTTGATGTGTCTCACAACAATCTCACAGGTCCTATACCGCAAGGAACCCAACTTACTTCATTCAACAGCACTTCATATGAGGGAAACCCAGGATTGTGTGGAGATCCATTACCAAATAAATGTGGAAATCAAGAGGCCCCTCAACAGCCATTTTCAACTGAAGAAGACAGTGATTCAGGCTCATCTCAAACTCTTGAATTTGATTTGATATTTGGTTTGGCTGGAGTTGGAAGTGGGTTGGTAGTGGGAGTGGTTCTTGCGGATATCGTGATCACAAGAAGGCAGGAGTTGTTTCTTAAGATTGTTGGAATGGTCAGGCTAATGATATGGAAAAGGTAAGGGATACAGAAATTGAGTTTGTTATAAGGTCATGCATTTAAGGTTGTTCTCTTGTGTTTCCTTCCTTCTCCTTCTATGTAACCTTGCTCTCTTTGAGTTGTACTTATCCTAATGGAGGAATCAGTTATGATGATGTATTAATGCAAATAAAGATATTAGAGTGTTGCATGTGTTTCTGTATTTGGATTCTCTGCATTCATAGTTAAGTACATTGTATAGCAAGATCAGTTGTCTACAACCACAGAGCTATGGATTTGCAAAACATTTCTCTCAACTCATGGGATCGAACGAAAATCGTACACTGTATCGTCAATGCGGACAATTTCAACATTGCAACGGTAAACTAAAAGTAAAAAAGTTGGGAAAATTTGGTTTCAATAATTGTTGGCTGCCAAGAATATTTGAAAACATTGGAAATACAAGGGTAATGCTCAAGTAAGAACTGTTTATAAACTGAATATTAAGATCCAGCAGTGGCTTAATAAGGAAGGCAACAAATGCTGAGTCGAAGTTGAGGAGGATATGCACAGCATAAACCACTCCTCTGTTTTAGTGACTTCCCTTGCAAGTTCTGTAGCCCAGTTTCTTATTAGATTCATCTTATCAACCTTTTTAATTTGACCCCAAAAAAAAAAACACACCTTCAGCAAGTATAATTTCTGAAAAAAAAATAGCCCTAACAAATAACCGTGACAGGCCAGAAGCCTCATGGAATCCACTAGTTCTATGAATGATGAAGTGATAATCATTAGGGTGGAAGTCTTGGTAAACAAAGAGAAGGGAATGCTTTCCTTGTATTAAATCCATACTTGTAATGAGTCGGTGTATTTACTAATCAGGAATTGGGGTAAGCAAGAATGAGAGTAATGAAGAATTGACAAGCATGAATAAGGGTAACCATGAATTAGAGTCAACATTCCAATTAAACTGCTTACTAACTATAAGGAATCATAATGAAAAATAATTCCGATTCCCATTAAAACAGTTTACTATTCTAAAGAATCGGAATCAAAATAAATTTGATTACCAAAATACCCTTCTACGAAAAGAAATTTTATTTTGTTCAACTACTTATGCAAGTTTTCAAATGACAAAAATTGTGTATTGTAATAATAAACCAACTTTTTATATATCATAATGATAAAATAGAATTTAATAATTGTAAAAAAAATATTTTTTTTATAGGTTTAATTAATTATTTCCAATGTATCTAAATATATAAAATTACAAAAATAATTAAAACCTCCCATATCAGGAATCAAATTTCCTCCATATCATGAATTAGGAATGAAATTTTATTTGGGCCCTGCGTTTCTTTTCATTCACAATGTGTAAGTAAACAAAGGAATAATCTGGAATGGGAATGACTCCCACTCTTTCCATTTTCATTATGGTTATATAAACATGCAGATTTTTTTAAGTGAGTGATATGGAGGGTAATTTGGACATTTCAACACTGGATTTGTAACTAGTCTAAACCGACACGAATGACTTGCAATCGTTTTATTTCAAGCAAAAAGAATAAAAATTCGAAAGCTATCTTGTTTGTGTTGTTACACCACAGTAAAGTTTAATTACCAAGTTTGGGATGGATTGGTGTGGTGTGGTTCCTATACGGAAAAGAATTCTCCATATATAATGTCCATGCAACATTCTATAGCAACAAAAAAGAGATGTCATGTGACAAAATTGGCATAATAGCTGCTATTATTGTGCCTAAAAAAAAGTTGTTGTCTTTATATTTATACAAAGGGGTATTGGATTTTTAAATTAAAATAAATATATATGTGTGGGCAATTTGGGAAGGAAAAATCTTATTCCAATTCACCCATGCCCAGTCTCATATCAGGAATCAAATTTCCTCCATATCATGAATCATGAATCAATTTTTATTTGAGCCTGTGTTTCTTTTCATTCCCGATGTGTAAGTAAATAAAGGAATAATCCGGAATGGGAATGACTCCCACTCTTTCCATTCCCATTCCGGTTATGTAACATGCAGATTTTTTCAAAGTGAGTGACATGGAGGGTAATTTGGACATTTCAACACTGAATTTGTAACTAGTCTAAACCGACACGTGTGACTTGCAATCGTTTTGTTTCAAGCCAAAAGAATAAAAATTCAAAAGCTGTCCCTTCTTTGTGGAATTTTCTGTAATGAATATTTGGTTGCATTTACACTTGTTTATTAATCAGATCTGAGCTGTTGACTTAAGTCATCTGGTGTCATAACCCGGTCTTTAATTAATTTTTAATTAATAATTTATTATGAGAAAAGATAATTATACCTTTAGAATATTTTATTAGGTTTAAAGTTGACTTTTTGATCGGGAAGGAATTTGGGGATTTGGGCGGTACCATTGCGTAGAGCTTGACAATACGAGTTCGTAGACATGCGGCACGCCCAATTCCAAGTTATAACGAAGGAGAAAAGGTCTAGAAACGAAAAGGACGTAAAGGGAATTTTAAAATTTCTTATTGCTACAGTACCCGAACTCATTTTATTTTTCTCTCCTTCTTCCTCCCCCCCGCAGCTTCAGCCACAACAGTGACTGTTCGACTTCCAAGCCACAAAATCGACGTTATCGTTCACCGGATGGCCACGCCACCTTCACGAAAAGTGTTCATCTCGTCCTCCTCTATAAAACCCACCTAAGACCCTATCCGAGTGGCTAATGATGAGCTCGAATCGAAGCTAAGAAAGGGTTAGGCTTTTTCCGGCGGTATTTTTGCATTTTCCGGCGACCCCGGCCACGGAATCCGTCGAGCAAGGTATGAAAATTCATCTACTCTTCGTGCTCTATCCATTTATGTAGGTATTGAAGATCGATTTTGAAGTTTTACAGATTGTCCCATATACCCATATTATGCCGACGGTTTCGGCTTCGTTCTGGCTAGTTCCAGTTGGTTTTTGGCCTTGGTCCAAGAACAAAAATGGTTCCAAATAGGGTGTTATACCTAGGGTAGGAGTTTGGGCCGGCGGTTTGGAGTAGTTCCGATTGCCGGAAATTGATCAAGCCACCCACGCGCTGCCAGCGCGTGTGGCGGCGCATGGGCAGCATGGTGAAGCCATATTCAGTCCTAAAATGATCTCTCGGTCTTCACAAGCGCGTAGGAATTCGCGGATCTTCATTTGGGCAACGTTTGAACCCCAAACGGATATCGCTTATTGCGCGACTTCTGGGTTCAATACGTTTGAGCCGTTGGATCGTAGTAAATTTCATATATGTTAATCTAGATACTCTCAGGATCGTTTAGAATCTGACAGATCGTAAATCGGAGTCCCGGATACTTCGAAAATGCCAACCCTAGGGCTATGATTACAGTAATCATGTGATTGTGCGATCGTAATCAATCCGACTGTCGGATCGAGACCCAACTCTCAGGACATATGTCCTAGGCAGGTTAGAACCTGTAGGAACTCTCGGATGGGAATTTTGAGGTCGTGGACCCCACAGGGTCTGGGGTGGACTTTTTGGGACTTTATCGCTTTTAAGTCCCGATGTATTTTTTAGACCGCTCTAAACCTTGGGAAAAGTTACTGTGAGCATAGAAATGACTTTAAAGTTGGTGCACGCACTAGGAGCACAAGGCCAGGACTTGGGGTTAAATAATGAGGATGAGCCCCATAGAATATGTAAGCTTTAGAGAGTTCATATGCGTGCGAGTGTTCAATTGGTTTATTTATGGTCTTAATTTCATGATTTTATGTGAATTCGGGATGAGTATTTAATGATCTGTTTATTTATCACCTGTTTATATATTCATATGGTTAATCATGTCGTAAGATTAATAAAATAAAATTTGAACGGTATGTTAATCAGAGATCGATATGACTAACATACTAGCTAAGTGTTTAATATATGTATATCCAGTAGTTGAAAATGATGAGTCATAGCCTTTGGCTGTTATCAGATTATGGCATATATTTATGTATATATTCTAAGTTCAGTTAAGAACCAATTTATTGGAAGTTGATATAAAGACGAGTTAGAATGTTTGAGATTACCAATGCATTATTGTTGTTTTGAAAGTTGAGATGAATTTTATTGGCAGATTGATTTATTTGATTTGTTGTGACCTGAGACCAGAATATTATGATGCTTAATTTGTTTGGATATAATTGAATGCATGCTGAACGATTGAGTTATATAAATGTTTGATGACAGATGGAAATTTTGGAAAATGTTCAATTTACAGGGGAGACTCTGCCGAATTTTCGGCAGAAGTCAAACTTGAGATAAATTGTATTTTTAATGGAAGGGCAAATAGGTCATTTGCGCATGGTACTCGCCAAGTGTCGGACACGCACAAGGTTCGGCTCAAATTCCAAAGTAGAATTTGGGTCAGGTCCTATCATCTAGAGTCTTAAAATACTTCTTGATTGAACATGATTTCTTTGGAATTTATTCCAAGTCCCTTCCGTTATCTCTCTCTTTCACCTTCCATAAACACTTTTTTTTTTTTTTTTTTTTTTTTTTTTTTTTTTTTGGGTCAATCAATCCCCCTTGCCTTTTTAAATTTTTTTTTTCTCTCTCTCTCTCTCCCCAAATCAAGCTCTTTTTTCTGTTTTCTATGGCTGGTGAATTGTCAGGAAGGTAATTCAAAACCTCGACCCCAAAAGTATTTTTATGTTTATAGCTTAAATTTTGTGAAGATGTAAATTAAAACTAGGGCTTCTTATATCTAGGTCCGAAACGATTAGATGTCATTAGGTTTAGTCATTGTCTTTTTGGTTTTAGATGCAGGTCATTCGACATTAATTATTTTTTTTTGTTGTGTAGATTTTCCCCTTGAGGTAAATAAAGAAAACACATTGAAAATCTAAATTTAATGCATTATTTCTCTGTAATTGAATTCCAGAATTTAAATTTTGAATTCTCTCCTTGATCATATTCCTAATATATGGATAAAATACAATTTAATCAATAAAAAGTAAAGACCCACATATTATATGAATTGATTAGACAAGCACCCACATTAAATTATGTACCTGATAT